CAAGGTTTTATCTTTGTCAGTTATCGACAATACACCGAAACGATGAATTGTTTGTTTCTTGATTTAACAGTTGTAACAAGGCAAAAAGTAACAACGGTAGAGGGGGAGAAGAAGAAAAAAAAATAACTAAAAAAACAGTACAATAGTATTAGCTGTATTAGTTTGACTTATTTTTCTATCAGTTTTTTTTTTCTGTTTTTTTTTTGTTACTATTATCTGTTGAAAGATTAATGCATTTTGTTAGTTCATTTGGCACTTCTTTTTTGAAGTAAAAAATTTTTGTAGGGAAAGAAGTTGTGTTTAATACTCTCATTGTAATTTGGCTATCAACTTTTCTGAGCCATAAAAAAGCAGTAATAAAATTAGACAAGGCGATGGAAAAACAAAGATGGTATAAAGGGAAGAAAAAGGAGTTGTTGTTTAATTGTGATCATCGTTTTGATTGTCAAAATTTTTTTGTCAGGTATAAAAAGGAGAAGGGGGGAATGGGCAAGAAAAAAAAAAGGGTAAAATTTGGAAACAATAACACTAATGTCGTTTTGTTTTCTTTTATTTTGCTTTACTGCAACGGTAAAATCAAACAACGACGAGAATGTCAGTACTTTTTCTATTTCTTTTCTCTCTTTTTTTTTCTTGCTTTTTTAATAATTTATTTGGTATTTATTTGAAAGGGAAAAAAATGAATGAGCTTTTTGGCACTGCCTTTATTTCAACTGCTGTATAATGAAGAAAAAAAAGAGAGAGAATGAAAGAAAGACGAGAAAAAATTTTGTTAATTCCAGAAATTTTTTTTTTTCTTTGGTTTAGGTTGCCAACAAATTATATCAGATTATTGTATACAGCAAACATTGGCGTTGTTGGTATCTTTCCTGTTGATAGTTGGTGGTGTTAGGTCTCATTGGAAAAAACTGATGATATAATCGGATTTTTTTTTCTTTCTGCCAAACATCGATAACGCTGAGGTTAACTGTACTGTTCATGATCTTTGGCGAAACACAGAGCATTGATGAATCTTCGTTGATAGTTTTGGCTAACTGTCAGTCAGGGGGACTGAAGAGGGGAAGACAATGGAACAGGGTGGTAAGCAAAAAAATTTGCAGTTTATCATTTTTTGTGTTACTGTGATTGTCAGCAATATAAGTTGCTAAAGTTCAGTAGATCAAAGTTCTGCTAAACTGGTCACTGTTATCACCAACAGCATCTATTAAATATTTTAATTTTTGATCTACTAAACGGATAATAATTAATGCAATGTGACAAACCGCAGATGCATTTTTGGATTTTACAGAATCTTAGGAACAATTTTTGAACATAGGAACCGATGCTTTAAATACTCTTTTCACGGAACTTTTGTTTCTGCTATTATTGAGATCGTTGCTCTTAGTGTTCCTCTATCTCTTTTTTCTTTCTTTTTCAACATTCACTTAAGAATATTAAATCTCTTTTAATGGTTAGTTCAGCTTTTTATTTTTGTTTATTTGTTTATTTGTTTGCTTGTTCATTGTTTGTTTCTTTGACTAAATGAAAACAATGGAAAGATTGATTTCGGTTTTGTCACTGAGTTGAGTGGAATTGAGGAAAGGCGGACAGCAGAGAGGAATGGACGGAAAGAACGGTAAAGGATAAAAAAGAAGTGTTTCTCGGCTTACTGCAACATGATTTAAGTTCAGTTGTTGCATTGCGAAGTAGCTTCTGCAGCTGCTGCTGCTGCTGCTGCTCGTCTTCCTCTTCCTCCTCCTTCTCTTCCTCTTGGCACCTCTTTCTGCAAACTTTTTACTTAACGTTTATGCAAAACAAGTCAGGAAAAATTGAAACCCAATAACTATTGTTGAAAGCAATAACTTGAGTAACCAAAACTTCTGCCAGTACTGCAATAACTTTGAAATTGCAATGGCAGAAGAAAAAGAAAAGCAAAGCAAAATAGTTGAAACATTGAATCTTGTAAATTTACTTCGAATTCTGCAAAATAAATGGTAAAAAGACAAAGGACTGTTGGAAACATTCAATGGAAAACTATCAGCAAAAAGGGACAAAAGAAAACAAAAAGAAGGCACATGAAATACGTTGGTTTGCACTGTTATCGTTTGGTTGTATCATATCAATAAACAGAACAAAAAAAAAAAGCAGAAATTTCTCCGTCCTCTCCTCTATTTTTTCTCTGTATTTTTATTGTTTTTTTCATTTTTGGACTTATACTATCGGAGACGAATTTGTGACAATAAAAAAAATTT